ATAGAGTTAGTGTATATCTTCAACGGCGTGACCTAATAAAATGTATCTGAGAAGAGTAAACCGGTTTGTAGAGTTCTCCGGACAAAGCAGCAGTTGAGCATTCGCAAGCGGAACTCCGGCGATCGTAAAAAGGATTGTCGAAATTGCGGAAGCTACAACAAAGTCTGAGAAGCCAGCACAGCAGCAGGGTTGATGTTCTGTCCACTATAGTAATCAACGCACAAAGTCTCAGCGTTTGATGGGCCTGGTTATCTGCATCAGGAAGAATCCCGTTACGACTCGGCTGTCCGCCTTGAGTACAGCGGAAACAACGCGCTTCGCGGAATGCCGTAATGAGGCGTCTATATATACAATATATATATTTCGGGGTAAATGAAACTGCTCGCTCCAGATGACAAAAGGTGACGCATGTCGCACCAAAAGCAGTGTATTTCCTCAGCTGCGCAATTCGCAGGACTGAGTTCTGATGCCTTAGATATCGTGTTAATCACACTGAATTCAAGTACAGTACAGATGATATCCGAAACCTCCATCGTATACTCGCTTCTCTCCAGCACACGTCCTCCATCAACGATTCCCGCCTGTCTTACAAATGACAATTTCAATTTGTATGTAGGCTTTTCCATCTTGGAAATCTCTTTCCCGCACGAAAATATTAGGCATTCTGAAAGTCTGACATTTAATTTTTGAGGAAAAATATACAGGTATCAGCTGGTACTTGAGTATTTATAAGGTACAGTACTTTATTTTTTAAACCTCGCCTTAGTATACAGTATATGGGGATATGGCAACTGCTGTTGATATATTCTAGATATAAAAAAAAAACAAAGAAACACCATGCTGCTTTCCAACCCAATTTTAAACTCATAACCACCACTTATTCTGTACAATGACTTTTCACTGCTATGTATTATGTACTCGTATATATCAGTTGTGTTCATGTGCCTACATTTCCATAGACTCCATGTATACTGTGCATACAGTTTCAGGGTTTTGTAGCAGTGTCTTGAATTAATACATCCAAAGAAGGGCCATAATAGTTTGTTCCCATTCGAATATTCAGCGCAAGACGTACTATATACAATACTTTTCTTTCAGATCCCTTTAGAAATAGATTGCAACATACTTCTGCTGGTTATTCCTTTGCCAACAGATTAAGCGAAACTCCTTTTACGCCTGGCTGTGATTCAAGCGCCCAGCAAGAGGTAAAAATTATTTTGCACAGCATGAAAAAATTACTGACTGCAATTCTACTCGAGCTGAATCGCCTCCATAATTCAACTACATGTGCTTCAATCATGCTGAGTTTCCTTTTGAGGGTAAATTTCGAATTAGAGGCAGGCATGCGATAAAACTGCGGCAATTTTTCTCCGTTTATGACTCCTTCTACACGCGGAATCTCGATCAAATTTACCACCCTGGAGCTGAGCTCATTCATCTTTTATTTTGCAGGAAGACATACTCCGCCATAATCTGCAATAAGAGCTCATAAAGGAACTTCATACAGTACGTGATGATGCATACACAATTATATGAAAGAAGTGGATCGATGTAAAAATAAATATCCCAAAATGTTGACTGCATTTTTGTTTATCAAGTGGCATAAAAAGTGTTTCATCAGTGCATTTTAAGGATATCCCAATTAATTTTTTTTGTTAAATTTTTGTGACCACCACGCACCTTGAAAAATATTGCCCATGATTCAAGTTTCATTTTCAGCATGGTATTACAGTACTGTACTTATTTATTATATTTCTTTGGGCTATGAGAAAACGAAGAAATGATGAAGATGTGCTGCTTAAAAAAAAAGGGAAAATTCTGTCCGAAAAGCGGTAAAAATTTAATGCGGACACTTCACCCAATCTCGAAACGATGAGGAACTCACCAAGATAAATGAGGCCTGAATTATTACTTCGATGATCATGAGCATTCGAACTAAACGGGTTTTCATCGCGATAATGTGTCTTATTCGTACATATAACAGAGGAAGACAATGCGAACGTGATCGCTGTTCATCACACGAAACACTTGATAGAAGAAGAAAAAAAACATTCCGTATTTCCGTTATTCGAGGTACTTTTCTCCCATCAACATTTTTTTTTTACCGATTCCATAATTATGATGAATTGCCATTTGAACGACACTGGGTTCTTCGTGATGATAACTTGTAGATGTGAGGAAGAAAATGAGAACAAAATACAGTACTGTAGCTTTTCTCTCGATTTGAACTGTTCAGAAAAGCATTTTCGTTCATTTCCGTTATTCGACGAGGCTTGATTCTCACATCCGATTTTTGACCGATTCTGACCACGCACAAAAAAAGAAGACGTGGCTGCTGAACTAGATTTTCTGCAGTTCCAACGAGTTAATCGGTGATGTGGTTCTCACGACGAAGTACTCATCGTTAGCAATGTTCATTTATCATAATCATGCTTCAAACGATTGATGCGTTTTTTTTTTTTCGCAAATCCACAGAAGAAACGTCATCGCCGACGAGAATTGCAATGCTTTCCCGACAAATTTTTCGGAATGGTGTTGAAAACGAACTCACTTTGAAAAAGTACGAAAGTTATACTCATCCATAATTCACTTATTTCTTCTCTCCAATATAAAGCTGGAAAACAAATGGTTGGAAAAAAAGGGTTTCAGATCAAATTATTGGAAAACAATGTTGTTTATTGCCTCGTCGGTCTGCTGAACAAGCAGCAGGCGAATCCATAAAAATACAGTCGTCGGCAACTCTTCACAAGAAAAAAAAACACTCAACAACTGCCACGAACAGAAAGATCTCCAAAACAAAACAAAAAGCGCGGAAGAAATTTCAAGGCACTTCATTAGAAAATAAGTTCCAACTTCCGGGACGGAGAATTTCCTTCAAAGGTAACTCATTCAGTAACCACAATTTTTTTTTCGTGTTGGTAGAGTTCAAAGAATAATTTTTAATCACAGACGATGTTCGTCAATGAAATACGCGTGTGTGTATTTCATCCTTGGAATGTAATCATCACGAGCACCGCTTAATTTAAAACTCGACTTTTTTTCCTTCTTCTGGTAACCAACCTTTTTTTTTCTATCCCTGAAGCTCATTCCAGTGGTAAGAAAATATTTTTATCCTCCTTTTCGAGATTTCAATACAGCCACAAAAAATAAGTGAAAGACCTATGGGAAGCGTGAAGCATCCTTTCCATTGATCAAAATTATTATTGGTAACTACCATTGGGACAATGGAAAATCACAAATCAGCGTCATATTTGAAACGCGAGTTTTATTCTGACGATGGACTTGAATTTCCCAAAAACATAATTACTTTACCACACATAACTAATTTGATTAGTCGTCTCTCTCATTCGTTTCAACATCCAATGGAAAAGTGATGGGATAAAAAAAAAACGCCAGAAAATTTAATGCATCAGCTCCGATATATATACTATCCAACGAAAATCGTTGAATCATTATTCATGAAGAAATCTGATCAACATTTTTCTTCGATACTAAAATGTTATCATCAGATGAAGTGCAATCCTTTTATTTTGCAGAATTTCAATCGGAATTTACAAATGTTCTCGTTCATTTGCAAAAGGCTGTTATTCATACAATGGGACACCGATTCTAAAAACAGTTATTGTAATTATGCCTTTCACTTTCTTAAAATTATAGAAATACCGTGAAAAACGCGGAGTAATTTTTAGCGAATAGTTCAAAATTATTTTAAAATATTATCATATATAGCATTAAATGTGTGTTCGTAAAGCCTTGTAAAATGGGACATAATTGTTCATCTTCTTGGACTCGAGGTAATTCTGTTCATCACAAATGCATTTCCTCTTGTACATGCGATAATTACAGCCGAAGTGAGAATAAAATGCGATAAATACGAGTTGAATGTTTTCAATTTCGGAAAGGTTTTATTTCTGATAAAAAAATTATTGGATTGTTTCTGCTTATTTTCATAAACTTTTATAAGAGGTTATTTCGTTTGATCAAAAAACTTGTGAGTCAAAATATGTGACCAACGAATATTTAATAATTGTTTTTGTACCTCTTTGATGTGTGGGCAATTGGTAGGATGAAATATATGAGTTCGGCTTCTACATTGGAAACACAGACGGGTGACGAGAATATAGCAAGGTATACATATGCAGGCAATGAGATGCTTTATGGAATCTTGGGATTTATCGACGATCGATGCTTTCGAAAAGCAAAGCAAAGAAGAAAAAAAGAAGATACATTAGTTGACCTTTTTACAACCGTTGATCGCCTGGTGAGCACCAGCACCATTGGTGATTATGGTGCCATTGCTGGGCGCAACAGTGGGTGCTGCTGAATGCGAGTTGGATTCGTCCACCTTCTGTATACACAACGTGCGCATGGACCCGCCATTATCCATGATGGTTTTGACATAGGTGACGAACCCTTCACCCCGACGTCGCTTAATGTACTCTTGGATGTAGAAGTTGGAGAAGAGGATGACGAGGGAAGTCAGGTAGGCCATGACCCACCAAAGGAACACCGGCGGGAAATTGCACTGGTTGTACAGGCCCTCGCACGTGAGAAACATCATGGTGAAGAACTGGGCGAGTTGCAGCTGAGTCAAGTAGCGTTTCCACCACAGATACTTCTGGAACCTCGGTCCCAGGGATGCCATGTAGTAGTAGGTGTACATCACCACGTGCACCAACGAATTGAACAGTCCTATGATGTATGCTGCAAAAAAAGTACATTTTTATGCAAATATATATTTAGATATGCTTTGAAGTAACGCATTTACTGGAGTACCCATGTGCCCTCGAGTATGACGCGCACTTCAGTTTTTTTTTTTTTGGCACGAAATCTGTTCATAAAGAATCACTCCATGAGGTACACACTAGGAATATATAAAAAGAATTATATTCCTCTCTGTGTCATGAACTGTTCATCTAGAATGAGCACACGACCCACGAACTACTACCCGTCAGTTATTGGCTGACATTGATTGGAATCTAGTTTCCAACTACACTCTAAAATTTTTTCGACATTTATGATGGCGCTTAAATTGTCCAAGTTACAGGCGACTTTGTGACACGAAAGTGTGCTTAACCTCTGCATACGAAGAAGCTACTGCTGGTCAGTACTGACCTTAGTACAGTAGTACTCGTCACAGAACGGAAAAACCTATTCCATGCAGAGAAGGCTTTCCCAAGAGCTTGACTTTGCTCGCAGAATTCCTGAGCTTAAATCGTCTGATGTATTTCATGTGCACCGCGGCGGAATGTCAAGTTATGCTAGTACCCCGCAGAAGGAACACGTGGTTGGAAGGGTACATTGTTTATATTCAAATATATATATACAAATATATATAAGGTCCGTTATGGACGGTGTGAACTCACTGTGTCCTCCTGGTGCCATGTAAGCAGCTCCCCAGAAGTTGGCCACCATAGAACAATGGTGATAAACATGGAGGAAGGAGATCTGACTGTACTTCTTCCTCAGGATCAGGAAAACAGTGTCCAAAAGATCAATCATCTTGGAAAGCATGAACAGCCACACTGCTCTCGCCATCTGTCAAACAGTAATAACGGGAAAGGGTTCACTGAATTTGGATACTTTTTTTGTTTTCAACAGGAACATAGGGCAAATACAATCATCACGTCAAGGGAATTATATAAAGGGTCATTTTTAATCGTTCAGAGGCCTCGGAGTACAAAAGTTCCCTATTTTTTAATACTACAGAAGAGCTCTTACTGCATGAAATCATTTTTTATACGAACGGCTCCATTAAAACACCATTTTTAATCAACCCCTTTATTATTTCGGTCCAGCTACTTCTGCATGCGTGATGGGTAATAACGTTGGATAAAGACATACTGTACTGTACTTCGAGACATGGAATAGAGCTTAATTTCACAGGCAAATGATACTTCATCCATTTTTTCAGGCTATAATTCTTCAGCATATTTTAAATCATAATATTGTACAGGTACTGTACAATCGTCTAGTGTTTCATTGATCAGCTTTCAAGCACATTTTAAAATACATTTTTTGAATAAAACGTTCATCGCATACTTCGGACAACGTTGCTGCTTCACCGACAACTTGAAAAAGTATCCATGCATGGCATTGGGCTTCTTCTTACGTTTCTAATAGGATCAATCGATGACAGAAGAGGAATTACTGAGCGAACTCTCAATATTTTACTTTTACAATATTTTAGTCAGCAAAACTGAGGATACCTGTGCTGATAATATGGCGCGTCTTATATTCGAGTAAATACTTTAGAAGATTTTTATTTCTGAAAAAATTGCAGCTCTTCGAAGATAGCAAGGAAAAATTGTTGTATGATCACTTGGGCGGACATTTCTCTATTTTTTGCTGTACAGTATTTACTTTCGAGGCAAAACTATTTTCTTTTGGATAAGTATTTAAGGAAATGATGTGAAATACTCATTCAGTGCAACATTTAAACTCTCCCAAAAATTAGAAAACGAGCTAAAATGAACACCCGCGCTTGACATGAGGTTTATCGGACCGGTCGACGATGGAAAACGTCGGCGAATTTTTATTGTGTTTATTTTTGGGGGACAAAAATGAACGATTTTTTAATGACGTCATATATTTGAGTAAAACCTATTAAATACTTGTCTTGTATTCAGTGAAACACTTAAAACTCCCTTTAAAAGCACGAAAAAATAGTTAAATAATCACCCGTATGGCATGAGGTTTCTCGGACCAGTCATCGACGGCGTAACGAATTTTTGCGGTGTTCATTTTTGAGGGGCAAAAACGGGAATTTTAGTCTAATAGCGCTATATATTCGAGTAAATAACATCAAATCCTCGTCTCATGTTCAGTGAAACACTTGAACCCTTCTACAAATTAGAGGTAGAAAAAATTAGTTCTATAATCACCCGCACGCATGGCATGAGGTTTCTCGGATCGATCGACGGCGTAACAAATTTTTACGGTGTCCATTTTTGAGGAGCAAAAACGAGAATTTTAGCCTGATATAGCTCTATATATTCGAGTAAATAATATTAAATGCTCTTCTTATGTTCAGTGAAACAATTAAACTCCTTTAGCAAGTTAGAAAGAAGGAGTTATATATAATCACCCGCATGGCATGAGGTTTCTCGGACCGATCGACGGCGGAACACTTGAGCGCGTACGGCCCGAAGGCCAGTAGTGTCGCAAACTCGCTGAAGATATAGGCGGACACAACGACCTGGGTGAAGTTGTAAATGCGCATGATGGGTTTGAGGTCGACGGGTTTCCGGGATTCCATGTAACCCGGGCCGTAGACGATCATGGCCACGTAGCCGACCATGAGCACGATCGGCACGTGCGCCCCACCCATGAGCGGCCAGTCTTTCACCCGAGGATCATTCGCGAAATGTTGCCCTGTAATGAAATGCAGATGCACGTCATTATTACATCCTTTCTATTTGGTTATTGCCTTTCTATATATATATACAGCATATACTTTGTTCGGGTTTATGGCTACTCATCCGGTCGAAACGGCGTTCTGACGACAAGCAACACTTTCGCACCTCGTACAGATGAAAGAAGCGTACGTATTTTTTTCCGATTTCTTTTTCCTTCTGTCTTTTTCGGTTGCTTTACGCGCTTTAATTTCATTTCCTGGAATTCCGATTCGAAAATCATTATCAACGAGTTCCGGAAATTGAAATTGCGTTGGCTTAAAGAAAAGAAAATCCAAGAGCAGTACACAAGCAACAGACAAGAACGGAGAGATCATTTGAAGCCGAGAATTTACGCCTCGTAAATGAATTCGCATTATAATTGACCATTCCCAAGTCTTCGCATATATTCTTCGAAATTTTCCACTGCGTTTCCTCCACAAAAAGTCGACAATTTCAAGAGATGAATCATTCCATTTGAAAGGTGGACAGCACCATTCTTTAGTGATCATTTCATTTTAGAAATCACGACGTGAGCATTCTTTCGGTGTGGGTTTAATTATGCAAGACTGGCTTAACTAAATTTAAATTCACACAACGCGTGCTTGAGATTACACAAAAGAAAGTTGAGTGCCGAAAAAAGATAAATAAACTCAGAAGCGTAACTTTTATGAATTAATTTATTACGCAACCTAGAGTAGTTAGTTGCGTATATGCGGAAGCTGAAGTAAAAAGACGTCATGTGGTGTGTCATGAGGTACAACTTTAAAATAAATTTTTTTGCCAGTACTGTAGTATTCTCAGGTAAATGTTTAATTGTTTTTTCAATGATGGCCATTATTACCTTATCATTGAAGTTACCTCGGGGTTGAAGTCTCGAATGAAAATTTAAAATTTGATTTTTTCAATTGTTTTCTTTGGTAACCGTTCACTTTTTATTCAATGATGGAAACTGGAGTTCTCGAGTTCACTGACTTATTACGCGGGCAAGCGAATTTAACTTGCTGAAGTATAGAGGGATTTTTTTTCATATATATTACGGAATTTATGGTTTCTACAATTCATTTGATAGAAAAATGTTGACTGACCAATATAATGATGCCAGTTGGCCGGCAAGTCAAGGAAAATGCTGAAGAAGTTGCTCAATGCCTCCATAGCCGCTCGATCTCCGCAGAGCACCGAGTGACTGCAACAGTCCTTCTCCCGACTTTTGACCAATCTGCAAAAAATAGAAGAAACATACTGTATATTGATTCATTCTGCTTTTCCACGTTCACAAGGTTCAAACAACGTTCCCACGTCCAAATCTCCTCCCCCTCCCCACCCACATTCATCCAAACACATTCCATCACATCAAAATTAAAATATAGAAATGAGCTGTTTTTTTGGATATTGAAGAAAAGGCAAATACTCGTACATCACGAAATTTACAAATGCACAACTGATGTAAATGCATAAACTTTGTTCCCCTCACTATAGATTCCAAAAAGAAAATACTGTATCAATAATAACAACTGCATCATAATGCAATATATTGACAAACACGAACTAAAGCACAAGGGGTTCAGCCTTGTTCCCAGATAAGGAAAATATATAAAAACGTGACGCAGAGAATATAAGAAAATAAAATTTTTAAAGAAATTGGGCCATGAATCCCAATTTTATGCTCCCATTTGAGGTTCTCGTCTATAAAGAATGGTTACGCAAGAGATGGCAAGGCAAGCATACCTTTTTCGATGGTCTATATATAGTTCCGAAGTCTTTTCCTACAGCTTCACCGATTATTGGCACAATGGGTAAAATAGCAGTGAAGCGTTCAGCGAAATATCTGAACAAAAACTTCTTAAGCATTCACGGCAACAGTATAAATACTTCTTCGAATTTACGCGATAGCAGACCTTGACTATACCTTCTTCTTGCCGAGCAATTTTTCACGAACTTTTCGCACGAGCACATAAATTCTATATTCCTGAAGGTTATTTTGTTGTTTTAAAAACGGAAAAAAGTAGTCATCAAATAATTTAGAAAAGATCCGGGTTACATATTCATGGTCTTTTTTGGAGAACGTAAAATGTTCATGACGACAGGAATCATGACTGAATACTGCATTTAATTTGAACCTCTTTAAGTCGAGTTCATAAGGGACCTGCAAAAAAACTCAACTTAAGGGAGGTTTTCAATTACATAGGTTTGAACTACAATACGAAGCCCTTTTTCTGTTGAGCGTAGAAACAAATGCAAATTGTGATATTCTGGGGCTTAAATGACTTTTTAAAAGAGTTGAAAAGGTGCTGAACTTGGCGGCAGGGGTTCATTTTTCCAATCAAGTCTTTCACTTCCTTTAAACCACACAAGTTTCTGTCTTTATTGATTTTTTTCTTTCTTGGGTTTGAAAATTTGACTTCTGGAGGTTTGAGGGGAAAAGCTTTCGACTTATGAAGGTTTTTAATGTATTGTTTCTAAGAGGGTCCAGATGGGGACCTGGAAAAAATTCAACTTAGGGAGGTTCGAGTTATGGAGGTTCTAAACTTTTTCAAAAACTGTATTTATAAGGCTGAAAAAATAAAGTTGGATTCGACAGTTTTTAGATTTGAGAATAAATTTCGATCAATCCTCGTCTTTTGCAATCATGAGTCAGCGGTTTTCCAATCTAACAACGATCCATTTCTGTCTGTGCCACGGAACACATAATCTTCAGATTCGTTCCACTTTTGAAGCTATTCCAGAAATGCTATGAGATTCCAGTATTTGGAATGGGAACTTTGGCAGAGAAAAGTGCTGCTTCTATGTGAAAAAATAGGAATCGTACTCTATGCCTGTGAACTTTTCCCTCCATTAAGTTCTCACACCCAGCAGACAGCTAATTTTGCGTTATTTGGAATGGCAGTCGAAAGGTTGCCAATAATTGAACGATGCGCGATTTTTACTACAGTCTATACTGAACCTTCGAATATAAGAAATCGTTCGATTCTTCTTTTGACCTCAAAAAATGACCACATTGGAGACATTATCTTGGATATTTGGGTCTCATCATCATTCGAGTAAGCGAGTGCGTCCTATATATTTAAGAAAATATCCGGGACAGGCCGCAGCACCAGGGTTTTTGAGAATTTTTAAAACAATGAAATGAGTACAGTGTGGAACTGGATTTTTTTGGTTGTCCGAGATTTTTCAATTTCCTATTTTGTAATTCAAGATTTAAAACAAGCAGAACGATTCAAAAAAGCTCTAGCCATATATTGGTGAAAGCAAAATTGCTCACAAAATACGCGAGGAACTAGGACAGGAGAGCTGCAATCTCCCGCCAAGTTCAGTTTTCAGTGAATTATCCATCATGGAGGAGTGTGACAGCAGACATGTGCTTCCGTGCTGCAAGCTGGAGGTCATGGTTCTCCAAGAAATAATGATTCTAACTTTGATGATTCATGATCCGCGGTACTGATGCCGTACCGTGTATACGTAGAGGATTTGACGCGGGAACATATTATTAGAAGAAAGAAAGAAGAAAAAAAAACTAGGATGAAACTTCTGTTTCAACCCCGTTGATGTGAAACACGTGGTACTGTCCATGATCCGAGAAACTACAGCACTTGAAGTAGGCGCAGGACATGAGCCCGCCGGTCGACGAAACGGCGTAGAAATTGCTCGTACGTGCACGCGGCCCTGGAGCGACAGGCGTGCAATTTCTTCCCTTCCTTCGCTCTTATTTAGACTCAGTTCCCAGCACAGTGATGATGATGGGTTACATTCCTGCTTCCTTTTCTTTCAAATCTTCTTTTTCTAATTTTCCTCGATCATCAGGCCTTTTGGTATCGCAATAAACGGACCAAATCACCTCGCAGCAATGAGCAAAAAATAAAAATAAAAATTCGAAATGGAACGTCTTCTTCCGGTAGCTAAATCGGACGAATTTTCTGAAAGAATAAAAGCCCAGCGAAAAATGATGGAATTCCTCGAGTACCAGTCCACACGCTCCCTTTTCGTCAAAAATAAAGCTCGAAAAATGGGGTGCACGTCACACATTTTTTTTTCTGGAAATTTTGCAATGAACACATTCAGTGAAGTCCAAAGAAATGATTTATTAGAGACTAGAATCAGTAAAAATATACATTTAAAGTCAAATCTAGCTGGCTGATGAAAATGAGAAGCATAAAATTTGTGCAGCACAATATCTGAGCTCACATTTTAGTAACCTATATGTAAGAGTTCCACATTTATTTAAAAAATAGATTGTAATGTCATGGATAACCGAGTTGCGCGCTTCGATTCGAGATTGTATTTTCTGAAAACTGTTATCTAAAAATTTCATTGTGCGTTTTAAATGAAAGCGCATAGGATCCAAAAAAAAATACTCGTACAGGAAAATTTATGTTACATCACAAAGCTGATCGAGATACGATTCCGCTTGTTTTATTTTTGGAGCAGAGAATCATGCACAAACGGATGAAAATATCGTTAAAATAAAACGCAGCGATTAAATGTTATATCGCATTCAAAAAAATTCAGCGATCAGCAGCCGCCTCCAGAATGAGAAATATTCATTTTCTGTCATGAAGCATGTTTTGAGAAATGACTCCGAGTTTCTCCACTGAGAGTCGAGACTTTTGATTTCAACTGATGGCTCGTCAAAATTTAAAGGCAACTTGAGGAAAGCCAAAGTCACCAATTCTGGAACATAACAGAAGTTTCGAAGATTCACATTCTGATTTTGCTTAGATTGTTTGGGCTTACATATTTTTGATTTTATTTTCAATAAGGACTTGACTTCAGAAAATTACGCGCTGGATTTTTAAAATTCAAAAGACTTTCATTCGATTTTGAATGGCGAAAAAAGTATTCGTCAGCCGACCGAACGTATTTTGGAAAATTATAAGGGCTTATTTATTTACCTTACGAGAAATGTACAGTATTTCCAATTAGAGAATGGAAGCTTAACAAGGCGGGGCGGGTTGGTTTTTACTTCAGAGAATCCGCTTCAAGTACTGCAAGAATCATTGAGTTGAAAAACCTCGCATTCTTGAAAATTCGAGAATTATAATTGGTCTTGATATCCAGATAAATTCTTCAGTAATTATTTCGGGGCGGCTGAAACGTGACTTTGGAAACTGCGTAAAAAACGTGTGACCTTATAAAACTGCGGGAAGAATTTCATGATATAATTATTTGCTCAGCGCCCGGAAAAGGCTCCTAAAATCATTATATCAAATTCAATTGACTGAAATATAATAAGAAAAAAGATGTAAATGCATAAACTTTGTTCCCCTCACTATAGATTCCAAAAAGAAAATACTGTATCAATAATAACAACTGCATCATAATGCAATATATTGACAAACACGAACTAAAGCACAAGGGGTTCAGCCTTGCTCCCAGATAAAGAACATATATAAAAACGTGACGCAGAGAATATAAGAAAATAAAATTTTTAAAGAAATTGGGCCATGAATCCCAATTTTATGCTCCCATCTGAGGTTCTCGTCTATAAAGATCGGTTACGCAAGAGATGGCAAGGCAAGCATACCTTTTCGATGGTCTGTATATAGTTCCGAAGTCTTTTCCTACAGCTTCACCGATTACTGGCACAATGGGTAAAATAGCAGTGAAGCGTTCAGCGAAATATCTGAAAAAAAAGTTCTAAAGCATTCACGAAAACAGTATATATACAGTACTTCTTTGAATTTACGCGATAGCAGACCTTGACTATACCTTCTTCTTGCCGAGCAAATTTTCACGAACTTTTCGCACGAGCACATAAATTCTATATTCCTGAAGGTTATTTTGTTGTTTTAAGGATGGGAAAAAGTAGTCATCAAATAAGTTAGCAAAGATCCGGGTTACATACTTTTTTGGAGAACGTAAAATGTCCATGATGACAGGAATCATGACTGAATACTGCATATACTGTAACTTGAACGAAGTCGAATTTATCAGGGACCTGCAAAAAAATTCAACTAAGGGAGGTTTTGACTTAAGGAGGTTTTCAATTACATAGGTTTGAACTACAATACAAAGCCCTTTTTTCAGGGAAACTTGGAAACAAATGCAAATTGAGATTTTCTGGGGCTTACATGACTTCTTAAATGAGTTGAAAAGGTGCTGAACTTGGCGGAAGGGGTTCATTTGCCCAATCAAGTCTTTCACTTCCTTTAAACCAC